GGCATTTCACCTTGGTATTCACATTCTGTGTCAAGGCTGTGCTGGCAAGCAGGGAAAAGGACGCAAGATGCAGACTTGTGGAGGCGGAATTTAAAGTCAAAGTCCACTGTTTTATTGCAGGCATAAATCAGGAAACAAAACAGAACGGGGAGGGCATGAAACTGAACTAAAAACTGAAATACACAGGCCAGAATGAGGGTACAACGCAACACCGAACAGAGAAAAAACTCAGACAATAAATACCAGAGGAAAAAAGGGTAATGATGATTAGGTGAGGAACACAGCTGATACAATTAACAGGGAGACACAAAACTAGAAACATTGACATAAGACACAGGCTTTCAAAATAACAGGAAATCCATAAACCAAAACTCAAAGGCACTGAACTAAACTTATATGAAACAATAGAAATAACAAATTACAAAAACAATACACAAAACACTGGGTCACTGACCCAGGACTGTGACATTCTGTCCAATATGGATATATGAAGACTACAAAGGGAAATGGAGAGCTAAACCACCTGTTGAACGTAACATGCTAACATGGCTAACACTAGAATCAAATGGGAAAAGATTCTAACCCCCAAAGCATGCAATTACTTTTATCAACAAGCAAAATTTGCGACATTTTATATTATATAATATATTTATCACACACATTTAGACTATAGACATAAGTCAAAGATGAGATTTCAGTATAATGACTTGGATTTGAGTTTGAACTTGAACTCTATTTTTTTCACATAACAGTTTTCTTGACCTCTGTTTGGGTGTCAGTCAGCATTTGTAAATATACAAAGCCACTCGATTGGGTAGCATAGTGGTGGAGTGGTTAACACTGTCACCATATAGCATGTAGCTGGTTTTAACCCGAGCTTGTGCAGTTCTATGTAGAGTTTGCATGTTCTCCCTGTGCCTGTGTTTCCTTCTAAGATGCTCTGACTTCCTAGCTCACTCAAACGTATTAAAGGCATACATGTTAAGTTAGTTGGTTCTGAATTGAGCATTGATGCGAAGTAGGGTGTTTAAGTGGTCAGTAAAACTAGGAAAGTGGTCTATAAATGTGAATACATTACAGTCATGTATTCTTTTAAACTCCATTCTAAGATGTACTCCTGATGAGAATGTTCTGAAGCTGCTACTGGCCCTCTCTCCTGCTAATATACATGTCCTAGAGAGGCCCCTTGCTCTTGTCTTGCACCACCAACAGACTGACTGACAGCTATGGTTAAACAAAGAAGAGGAGGGTCTATTTGTTATCTGATACCCTTGTGAAAGGCTATGACAGTGTTAGAGGGACCCTGCTGACACTGGGGGCACCCCACAGAGCTGACCCTAAGACATTTTTGACACCCTGCCTTACTTATTGATGTGTATAGATGTGTTTGCGCGCATGATAAAAGCCTCCACTGGAGAAGCTTCTAACACTGTTAGTCTATAAATAAAAGTGGGGGCACAGAGCAAACTCAACCTTTTGTTTGTTTGTGTGTGTGTGTGCGCGCGTGTGTGTGTGTGTGTGTGTGTGTGTGTGTGTGGTTTTAAGTCTTGGAATTTGGCTTTACTTGTGTGTCTTGATGTGTCTTGTATATTCAAGGAGTTCCACATTGCAATATTGATGGCCCTAAGGGAGGGATGTAAGAGGGAATAGTGACAGCAGAGTGAGGGGAAGGACCTGGAGACGGTTATTAGTGCTTTGACACGTTTGGCATCCCCTACATCCAAGAATACATATATATGTCTGGTGAATTTAATTCTGATAGGTGAGGTCTCTGGAGGATTGAGACTAAAGTGGGGCTCTGGAAGGTTTAGGAAGGACTGATGGAGTAGAAGATGACTCCATATGATCTGATTCAACTTTTTAACAGAAGTAGAGTAAATATAATAAGAACGTAAATCACAACAAAGAAGGGGACGCAGATTCTACTGTAATATCGCTGTACATAGCACTCTGATCTACTTGAGGTTCGAGCCTCTTATCCGAATGCTACCAAATACCAAAGCAAAAATGCAAAAAAAAAAATAGTCAAACACAAGGCTGCAAAATTATAGTCAACAAATCAAGTGGGTAATGTCACAGTGGCTATACCTAGTTCTTTGTTACAATACATCAGTACATTAATTTAGTGTTTACATGTTTATGTTGAACTGCCTTGGCTACATGTGCCCAGAGAAGGTCTCCAGTGGGCAGAGCTGCATCTGTAGAGACCTAACAGGAGTGTAAATTGCCAGATTGGGCTTCTGGTAGCTACAGTGTCTTTTGGTGTTTCATGTTGAAGATAGTTTTATTTTTTTTCCGTTTTCCTCTCGGCCACAGAAACTCATTACAACAAACTCTCCATGCACTGTTTTTAAGCTAATCTCAAGGTCTGTATTGACTGACTCTGCAGAAAATTGACGAATTGCACATCTCAGCATGTGAACAGAAGTGGGGAACATTCCACCAGTTAAATTCATGGTCATGTCACTTTGCTAACTCTTTATTAAATCTCAAACTTCTTTTTATTTGTTACAATTTTTTTCAAAGAGTTTAGTGGCTTCCAGGCAGTGATTTTCAACTTTCAGCACAATAAACTATAGCAGCCTTGATCCAACCATCTACAGTGCCCTTCAAGGAATACCTTAATGCAACTGTGGCAGAAAAGGAAAGCTGACTGAACAAACCTTTTTCATGTTTGGAAGAAGTCTATCATGTTCTTTTTCTTCATAACACAATAAGACCGTTGGTTCTCAGTGACATCTGCACAGTCTATTATAGTTCGATAACCATCCACAGCATGAATTGACATATTTTGTTAAGTAACTGCTGTGCGTTTCTGAATACCCACATCTGATCTTGCATGTTAATTTGCTAACCTTTGGGGCGCCCTGAGTGAACACCGGCGCAAGAGCAACAAAGAAGACTTCTCTGATTGAAGTGGTTTGACCCGAACCACTGAGTTTCCAGCTTGCTCTCAAGTGGTTTTAATGAGTGTTGAATTCTATGAAAATTGATGGTCGGTACAGAGAAGGAGTTTTCAGGATGATTTTTCACCACGAGGCATGGGGGATACAGTGAATGGTGTTGATTAGATATTGAAATCTGCTGTGTATATGACAGGTGGCACATCAAAAATGATAGGAGGTAACATCTTGGAGTCCGTCCAGGACTCCTCATGTGTACACAACGAAAGAAAAGAGGACACCAGGTGAAAGACAAGAAGCCCTTTCATTTCAACTAGAAGCAAATAAAAAAAAAACATGTAATAACTCTGTAAACTCGGCACATGATAAGCAATGATTAGTTTACAGTTAATGACAATAAGACTAAACCAAGTTTTTGTTTTTTCTAGTTTTGTATTTTACATCATTTTGTAGCTCCTAGCAAGTCAGTCTCAACAAAACAGACTGAAAGGGCTAAAAGGCTAGATGAGAAGTGTTAATATCATGTTGCAGCCATAGACTGTATATAAAATAAGGGCACAGTAACCATGAGGTCACTCACTGGTTTGTGAGCTCCACACTTGAAAGCCTCAATGTTTCACCATTGTCCCCCAAAACTGACCATATTTGGATGACAGCATATTGTAAAAAACGTATATTTCCACATGTGCTGTAAAGTCACTTAGTCCTGCATTTGAGTCCGGCCTGCTGTTAGTTATGACAAGTACAAAAAGGGGACAAGTGTTGGACTTTAGCTTGTTCACCTGCACTAAATCAAAACAACCTCAAGGCCCTTCTTATTATAAGGTAGGGCTCTACAATGATATAGATCAAATGACTCCCTAGCAAGGGCCTAACACTTGATGACAGTGCTTGCGCCTGTTAAAATTCCCTTTTAACCACAAGAAACTTCTATCAGAACCAGGCAGAACAAGGTTCAGGGAGGGGGAGTCACCTGAGGTAGACAGGGCAAAAGACACTATGAGAGCGAACGAAACTCTGGATCAGATCTCCCAGTCCCCTGACAGAAGAACCAAGTTAGTCGCCTAGTTGCTAGGCCCCCCTTTGTTTTATAAGAAAAATATAGACACACACACCACACCACCACGTCCCTCCATTTAGAAAGGCAGAGGCGTCACAGCGTGATTATTTTACATGTAGTTGTTTTTTTCCTGTGTAATAATATTCAACATTGCTATCAATATATTTTTCAAAAAATGCCTCTCTGTGTAAAATGGGTTCAAAAACATAAAAAAAAACCTGTGGGATACTGTTTGTCCATGATTTTGACAGGGGGAATAAATCGTGGCAGGATCAGCCTGATATTATTTGTATCCCACTGTAACTTTACTGTATAAAGAGCAAAATGTCAGGAGTAGTTAGTCATTACAAGAAGGGTTTGTGAACTAAAAATCAAGAATATGGGATACTGTTTGTCAGAGATTTACAGTTAACAAACAGTCAGGTGAATAAACAACACTGAGACACTTGAGATTGATAACGTGCGGCACGGGTGAATCTCAGACAGAGAGTCACCCCGAACTGCAGTATTCGTTTATTTTTATAGCAGAAGCAGGGTGGGACAAGCATAGCAGTTTCCTTTAATTCTGCATACGTGTGTGTGTGTGTGTGTGTGTGTGTGAATGTCACAGGGTGAACTTCCTGTTTCTAGAAACAGAGCTGTGGGTGTTGTAACTGTGCAAGAGAGTGAGTAGTACATTTTGTTCTTTTCCTATTAAGAGTAAAATATGAACATATACTTTAATGCAACATAAACCTTATAAAAGCGTTTCTTCCTTAACACTGTTTGTCCGTGATTTGGAGAACCCAGTGCGTGCTTCCGATGCAGGGAAAACCAATTCTGCAGGGGAGACCTACCTTGGCACTTGCGCAGGTGAAGCCAAAGGGAAGATATGCTTCACCATATTTTCTAGTCTTTGGCTTAGAAGGAAGATGGTTTGGAAACATATTTGGCGATGCTTCATCTCCTGCTTTGCGTTTGTGTGGAAGCCTCGTCAAAAACCTGTCAATCATGCTAGCAGTGTCCAAGCGTTCTTTTTTTATTTTTTTATTTCTCTTTTCTTGACTTCTTCAGTCTCAGCTGATTTCAGGTTTCCCCAATCTTATAAACAGTACATTTCCACAATGACTGAAACTTAGCAGCACTGAATGAACAATGGGATGTGAGCTCAGTTACTTGATCAAATTACTTGCAAATTCTCATGACCATTGATCAAAGAGCATCGATCAATGGTCATGAGTACCAATGACAGAGAGTTGGGGAATGGCTGCAATGCCAAATAGGCCATGATCAACCAGAACTCTCAACTCTTCCAGGTTCTTTGGACTGGTAAGCAGCGGATGACTTCCTCCACAGCAGATCTGCTCCTCCAGTCCACACCTCACCTGCATCTTTTTTAGCAGCATTGTGGGCTAAAGCAGAGGAACCTGTACCCTCAGTTTCCTTTGCTTCTGTTGCATCCTCTGTTTTTTCTGCTCCCGCTCCTCTTGGCTTCCTCTGCACTGGTTTCTTCAGCACCTTCTGCATTCTCTGCTCCCTCATCAAGGAGGAAATGGCATCCTCATCATCAACAGTTCTCTCAACCATTGGCATCAGCTGCCTTGGTCTGTCTGCTGGCACAGGGCTGACGGATTACACTGTTTTGGTAAGTGGCCCTGACTTTTCTTTTTATGCTCTTCTCTCCTCTTGTTCCAGCCTTGGTTTTGTGAGGAAACTAATTCAAAGATTGAAGTGCATTTTTCAGAGCAGAATGATAGCCTTTTTGCTTCCGAGCCAGGCTGGGAAAGCCTTCAAAAAACATGATTTTGTTGTTTTGTTGCATTTGCCATTGAACAGCATGCAGATGTTAGACGGCCAAATCCTAGGAAAGTAACAGTGGACAGTGACTCAAGCAATATCCCTGTCATTGAACATTGATTGTGCATAAAAGTGTGCTGTATTAGGGCAGGAAATGCAGAAATCCTATTTTCCTATTTTGTTATTTTATTTTAAAAAGGCGAGAATGTCAATTCTTGGATAATAAATGATTTTGTGTATTTTCTTACAGATGCACAAGGGATCTCTCGAGTGGAAGGTCCAAATCAGATGGTAAGTTGCTTGGAGTAGCTTTTGTTTATTTTTATATAATGATATTTTGTTTATTCTTAATTGACAGGAGAGTGGGGAGAAAATCTGCAGTCCAGATCAGGACGGACAGGCATCAAATTGGTGATCAATATACTGGGAACTGCCAAAATAGGATGTACTCTGAAAGGGACTTTTACCTTTCTGGCATTTCACAACGCACATGGAAAAATTTGACCATCCACATCTCAACTTTTGTTCTCGCCTTTTCTCAACCTTGCATGGCTCCAGAGCAGCAAATTCAGCCACCGAGTTGGAGTTGGTCCCCACCTCTAACACCAAATGAGAAAAGGCCACCTGCTTTGAGCTTTACTGATGTCAATCCACCTGAACCACAGAAAATGATAGTTCAGCACACAGTGCGGCCTGATGATGCAACAACGCAGTTGTACACTTCCCCAAGGCTCAGGCCCTTTTCTTGGCGTCGCCCTCATTCCTTGAAGGATATCAAACAGCCAGACCTCCAGAAGTCAAGGAGGCTTCTAGAAAGCCTCCATGACTTATCATGTCCTGCTATTGACATGATAGTGTGTACTTGATTGCCAAGTTTGAAGTTGAAGATGGGGGATGACCTCTTTGCAAAGTATCTCAACACCATGCAAAACCAAAACCATAGCGAGGAGTCCTTAGCCTACCTAATATAACAAGAGAATCAACCTCTGTGGTAGAAGAGTTCAGGTAGCTGCTCTGCTCTGTGCCATGGTATTGAAGAAGATAACAGTGGATGATATATATCCTTAAATTTAGTTACAGCACTTTCAGAAAGACATCTACTTTGATAAAGTCTACTCTCCACCGCTGTGTAATCAATTATTGTAAATGTAAATGTTATCAGAAAATGATCAGACAGGAGAGGGTTTTCAGGAAACACTGTTAAATGTTCAGTTTCTATGCCATATGTTAAAACAAGGTCTAGAGTGTGATTAAAGTGGTGGGTGGGTTCTTTTACATTTTGACAGAAGCCAATTGAGTCTAATAACAGATTGAATGCTGTGTTGAGGCTGTCACTTTTAGCATCTACGTGAATGTTAAACTCACCCACAGTAATTATTTTATCTGAGCTGAGCACTAAATCAGATAAAAACTAAGGCCTGATTAAGGCCCAGGTACATGATAGATAACAACAAAGAATTCTGTTTTTTTTGTATTATTGGGGTAGGGTTCAGGCTTAATGGGTCTTTGGTTGATTATTATCCAGAGTGGAAGACTGCTGTCAGACCACCTCCCCAGCTTTTGCTTTAAAGATACTAACAGTTAGTTTAACTTGAGGGTGTTGATTCATTTAAACTAACATAGTTATCGTGCTGTAACAGGTTTCTGTAAGGCAGAGAAAATTAATTTGTAGATCACTTATGAACTAACAATGATTTAGAGGAGGGAGACCTAATGTTTAATATTCCAAATTTCAAAGTTTTACTCTTGGTGCACTGTGGAGACTATTGTTCTTTCTTTATGAATTTTTAAAAAATGTATTTCAATCGTTTTTTGCTGATTTTTTGTTTGTTTTATTTTTATTTTTTGTTCATTTGAGAGCAGACAGTCTGTAAGGGGACGTAAGTGTTTTGGGAGATAATAGGAGGAGAGAAGCTGCTTCTGTGTGAGACTGCAACTCTCTAAATGTTAAGGGTGTCATGGAAATTTCCCAACAGCTTGATGGTAAAGCAGCAGAGCTAAATTGTGGTTAATTTTGACCCTGTCCAGCCCTAAATATAGGTCTGAAAGAACACTGAACAATGAAGCAACAAAAAAGAGGACTAGTTGCATAGCTGGTGACTGCAATGTGATTTTAGACAGCAAATTGAACAAATTAAACAGTGATGAGAAACAGAAGTAAATGTTCTTTGAAAATATCCAACTGCATTCATGTAGTGTAATGAGACTGCTAACCAAAATAAAATCTGTCTTTATTGTGCTTCAGTTATTGTTTTACCCTGACTACATTCTTGTCTTATCATCCTTTAAAAACACAGATTGAATATTTTCTCTCATATTGTCAGAGGCATTATCTCTAACTCTGTCTCCCACCCACTCTTCTCCACAGACTGTTCATATTCTTCTTCACATTTCCATCTCCCTCTCTTCCACCCATACAATCACTCAACTCCCACTATCTGAACGTACATGCATGGTGTGTCTGCCTTCATTTAGTGGCTTTCAGGCTGTCATCCAGCTTTTAAGGAAAGAGCCTTTGAAGCTTCAGAGCAGTTCTTCCCTGCCATGTTAGCATTAGCACTGGCTAAATTGGGATAGTGGTGGAGGTTGACTTCTTGCTTCTGGAGGGAGAGTGGGAGTCTGGAAGCTGATCAGACAGCCTGACACTTGGGGGCGGAGGAGATGCCACCTCCAGCTACCAGGACACTGAGTGGAGATAGTGGTGCATATGGCAGCAAGCTCTTTAGTCACAATCACAGTGACTCATTCACACGCGGTGGGGTGCAGTCGCCTTCTGTTCTTTACATTCATTTAATTTATTCTGTAGTCTTCCATTTGTTTTCATTTCCTATGAACTATTTTAAGCCTTAATTTTTAAAATATATTTATATATATTTTTTATACATTTCACATTCTGCATAATTTCGGGGGGAGAATTTATGCACAAAAAAAGACTAATCACGATTTTTCCCCTTTTCGTAAAACATTAAAATATCCAATGACTGCTGGATGCTGTTAGGATGTTAGGATGCTGTTCGTGGACTACAGTTCAGCATTCAACACAATAATTCCCTCTAAGCTTTTCACCAAGTTGACGGATCTAGGACTCAGCTCATCACTGTGTCAGTGGATCCTCAACTTCCTCACAGACAGACCCCAATCAGTGAGGGTGGGAAAACAAGTCTCCCCCTCCATCTCACTCAGCACTGGAGTGCCTCAGGGCTGTGTTTTAAGCCCCCTGCTGTACTCACTGTACACTTATGACTGTGTAGCCACATCCGACACCACCTCCATTGTCAAGTTTGCTGACGACACTGCTGTTGTGGGCCTGATCTCCGACAACATCGAGACGGCCTACCTGGAGGAGATTAGGAACCTGGAGACCTGGTGCCAGGAGAATAACCTCCTCCTAAACATCAGCAAGACTAAGGAGCTGATCGTGGACTTCACTACAAAGCAGGCGAGGAATTACAAACCCCTCATCATCAGTGGCACGCCAGTGGAGAGAGTGGACAGTTTCCGATACCTGGGTGTCCACATCACTCAGGACCTGTCATGGTCCTGTCACATCAACACCCTGGTTAAGAAAGCCCGTCAGCGTCTCTTCTTCCTCAGAAGACTTAGAGACTTCCATCTGCCACTGAAGGTGCTCAAGAACTTCTACTCCTGCACCATCGAGAGCGTCCTGACGGCAAACATCTGCACCTGGTTTGGGAACAGCACCAAGCAGGACAGACGAGATCTGCAAAGAGTGGTGCGCTCGGCAGAACGCATCATTCAATCAGAGCTCCCTGACCTGCTGTCCATCTACACCAAGCGGTGCAAGTCCAAAGCTAGGAAGATTATGATGGACCTCTCCCATCCCAACAATGGACTCTTCTCACTGTTGAGGTCTGGGAAGCGCTTCCGCTCCCTTAAGGCCAAAACAGAGAGAATGAGGAGGAGCTTCTTCCCCCAGGCTATTCGGGGCCTGAACCAGGTGTAGGACTGGACTCTCCCAAACACGTCACTATAAGACTGGACTCTCACACACGTCACCACACGCACCACCACACATTTCCTATAATCCTATAATTCCTATAATTTATAATCCTTATCTTTATAATCTCTTCTGCTATTTGCACATTCTTTACTGTAAATTCCTAAGTTAATTTGTAAATTTTTGTAGTAAACTGTAAATTGTAAATATTGTAAAACTTTTCTTCTGTCATTTAATGGTCGGGCATTGTACAGCTACAAGCATTTCACCCCCATGTCATACTGTGTATGGTTGTGTGTGTGTGACAAATAAAATTTGAATTTGAATTTGAATACAGTCAAATGCAGTTTATGTTTTATGATGTCAAATCCGTTGTCCTTTTCTCACGTCGTTTGGGCGAGGACGACGGGCGTTGCCTCTGGGGGACGCCCTAGTATTTGTTTCCATATTTTGGGTTGGCATTTCTTTCTACGCGACCTGCCACCTGCCAGCAGACGGGGCATGCCAAAGAAGCTAGTCCAATTACTACGCCTCAATACCCTCAACATTGGTACATTAATCGGACGAAGCCGCAAACTATTCGACACTCTCAAGAACCACCGCATCGACATCGATGGCAAAGGGACAGTGTGGTTGAAGTGACCCGCATGTCAATCGTCTTATATCACTCAAGACTGACACTTAGTCCACCATCCTCCTGCTATGCACCACAGACCAACTGCCCCGACGGTGAGAAGGAAGCATTCTGGCTCAACCTTGATGACCACCTACAGTCAATTGGCCCTGAAGAACATCTGGCAATAGGCGGTGGCCTAAATGGACACGTCAGCCAGGAGAGAGACAGATATGTGCAATTCCGTGGCGGCCAAGGATTTGGAACCCGAAACGATGTTCTGAACTGCACAGAGGCACACGATCTCGCCGTGGCCAACACTTTCTTCAGAAAAAGGCCAGCGCATCTCATTACGTATTCTACACCCAAATCGACTACTGGCTAATCCGAAGAGCCCACCTGAACCTGGTAACTAACATGAAGGTCATCCTGTCAACCTCAGCCCTCTGCATTGGCTACTCATTATGGACCTACGACTCAACCTTGGCCAGCAACGACGACCACCAATCACTTCAGTAGAGAAGATTAAATGGTGGCGCCTTCACGAGTGCAAAAGCCAGCTAGAGGACGCACTTGGACACCTCAGCGTAGATCCCAATGGACCAGTAGACACCATCTGTGATAACATCGCTAGTCAGATACACGGCGCGGCAGGGAAATGCGGATGCTGCGATGGTGTCTGGACCTGACACAATGGGACCATGTTATTAACATCGACATCCGAAAGCGGCTGGGCATTGCGCCAATCATGGAGAAGATGCAAGGAGTGCGACTGCGATGGTATGGGCACGTGGTCAGAAGTGACAAAAACACGGTGGCAAGAACAGCACTGCGACTCAGCCCCCAAGGCTGGCGGCCAAGGGGCAGACCAAAAAGGCAATGGATGGACCGAATTAAAGATGACGTGACGAAGATCAGCGCCAACATGAACGAAACCTTGATCTTGCTGAATGGAGGCGCCTCTGCAGAGCGGGATTAACGCTAGGAAGAAGAAGTTTTCTTCAATCAGTGATGAATAGTAAGATGTTTTAGCTTTACAGAGGGCTTTCTTAAAAAGCAGTAAACTATTTCTCCAGGCTAAATGATGATCTTCTAAATTTGTGACACGCCATTTCCTCTCCAGCTTACGAGTCATCTGCTTTAGGCTAAGTGTTTGAAAATTATACGAGGGAGTCAAGTACTTCTGATTTGCTCTTTTTCACCGGAGCTACAGTATCCAGAGTCGTACGGAGTGAGGAGGTAAAATTATTAACAAGATGAATGACTTCTGTTGGAGTAGCGTTCAGGTAGCTGCTCTGCTCTGTGTTGGTACAAGATGATGATGAAGATGATAGCAGTGGGTGAATTATTCTTAGAGCAGCAGTAATGTCACTTTTAAAAACACAAGCAGTCCTCTAAATATGTGTATGTGTTTCTTCACTTTAACAGCTTGACCCAGTCCTGAAGGAGCGCTGCTTCATCAGGTTTAGTAGTGGGTACAAAGGGCATCATCATTAGATTAGTCTGTGATCACTCTCCCCAAATAATTATCCTGCTGTCCAGGCTCCTGCAGCATCCAGACTTAATTGATTTAATGGAGTGTGCTTTCTCTCGCTCTC